TTTTGTGAATGGCCTTGATTAAGGATTGTTTCCATAGAGAAGGGAAAACACCAGCTTGAAGAGATAAGGAAAAGATATGATGCAACTGAGGAGCAATTATATCGGCAGAAATTTTAAGAAATTTTATAGATATACCGTCAATCCCAACAGAATTTTTATTTTTTAAACTGGAAATAGAGGTGAAAATATCAGCTACATCGAATTTGATATCGCACAGCAATTGAGAAGTTACATTAGTAGAGGTTGAGAGAGGTAAATGTGAAGGTCCTTGAGTTGTAGCAAAATTGGTTTCAAAGTAGTCAGACAACAGTTGAGCTTTAGACTGATCGTCAGTTGCAAGAGTATTGTTATGTCTAAGGGTGACTGGTAAATCACACTCTGTATTCCTGTATTTATTTATAAGTGTCCAAAAACGTTTACTACATGAAAATGTTTTCATTATTGATTGAAATAACCTGTTTTTATCTCTATGAACAGATTGAATTGACAAGTTTCTAAATTTTTTGTAAATTTTAAATAGCCGAGGAGGATGGTTTTTGTATTTTGATTTACGGAAGGCACCGTCTCTTTTACGTTGAAGGAATCTCGTCTGCCTCGAAAGGCGAAGGGTGCGTTGTTGAACAAGAGGAACTATTTTAACTGGAATAGAGATTTCGGTCGAGGAGATGACTTGCTCAATCCAGAACTGTAAGGCATCATCTGGATCCTTAATACAGAATAGTCGATCGTTCATCGACAATAGATTAGCATAGAGAACAGACTTATCAAGGTGATCGAAGTCGAGAATGGCTTTGGTGCGATTAGGTATTGGATCGAGATACGGAAATGAGCATGATAAAATATAATGAGGTGATTTACCCAAGGCACCAACGGTGAAAGTGTTAGACGGATGTAGTTGGGTAGAATGAAAGATGTTGTCAATATACGTATTTTTCGTGGTGGTTGGCACAGAGAAAGCATTTGTCAAATCAAAAAGATCTAAAAGTGATCGCAATCCTTGGGATATTAATGGTTTAATTGTTTTAACATTCATGTCTCCCACAAAAATAATTGCTTTGTCTTTATTTATATATGATAGAAGAAAAGTCTGGAGATTGTCAAAGAAGATCGGAGGACTTTTAGGTCGCCTACAGGTGTTACACAAATAGAAGATTTGGTTGTTAAAAGTTAATGACAGTAGAATGGACTCAGTATCAGCAGAAGAAGCAATAAATGAGTGTTTAATGTCATTTCTGATATAAATACAAACTCCTCCCCGTCGTCTATGATTATCGCATCGATAAACTGCATATTTTGGGATAAGTATGTCGCTGTCTGGAATTTTAGCAGAGAGAAAAGTCTCTTGTAAGCAGAATACTACTGGTTGAAATTTATTCAGATACTGTTCAACTGCATCAAAATTTCGAGGTAAACTCTGTATATTGTGCGATGTAATGAGTAGGTTGGTATTTGCAGAGGAAGGAATAAACAGTGGTGCCGCAGGATTTAACTGAGAAGACAGTGGAGTCGTAGTGCCCGTCAAACTGAGAGAAGTAGAGTCAGTACTTGTGTGCATCTGAAGAACAATAGAATCACCAAAATGACTAACTTGATCTGAGACACTGTGGGAAAAAGAGATATGAGAATCCGAAACAGATTGCCCAGTACGCAATAGTGTGAAAAATGGAATAGTATTACATACCACAGTGTTCGAGCATGAGATGTCAATTGGTGTGCAAGAAATGTTAAATACATTTAGATAAATAGTTATCAATGGATGAGGATAATAATTTTGTGCCTAACCCATTTAAATGAATTCCATCTCTAGTATCAATATGTTCTTGAGTAAATTTGATTGCAATTATTTGGACCTGATCTTCCTTGTCTAATGCAACTAATTTTGTATTGAAATCTTCAATGTCTTTATTTAATTGCTGTTGAAGACTTGGTTTAAGACTAGGATCATATTGATATGGTAAAGTACATAAAGCTAATGAGGCATCCGGTAATTTTTCTTTGAATGTTCTTATTAGACTTCTAATATTTTGAATAGCAGATTCTGGTGTGATATGTTTAATATCGACCGATCCAGTTGAAATGATAACATGTTCAGAGTCTGTAAATTGCTTGTCTATTCTATTTGTTTTAACTAAGTTACTGATGTGGTTGATCAGAGCACCACCTTTAGTTCTTATTTTTATATTACAGAGTTTATCATTATAATTCATAATACCTGGTAATAAATCACGAATAATGCTGCTGCCTGTGATCGTAATAGGAACAGCTGAAGGGGGTAATTTAATTGTCGATGGATGATTGTTTTGAAGAGGAAGAACTTTGATCAAAGTATCTTCATTGGGTAATGGATATGTTTCTGGCGTTGAAGTTGATGAGACTAATTGAGACTGTTGATTAGAGAAACAAGTTGGTAATTTATTGTTTAAATGATCAATTGTTAATGAGAGATTGTCAACGACTTTTAATATAGCATTATGTTGATCAGTGATAGAAGAGGATGATTGATGAAGTGACTGAATGGTAACATTCTGACTATTAACAATTAATTGTAAACCATTACATTTTTCTTGCAGAGTGTTAATTTTACCATCCATGGAATACAATTTATTCTCTAGTCGTTGGATAATTGCAATCAATACATTTGATTGTAATATATCCAACTTACTTTTGTCAATCCCAAATAACGATTTCATGATGCTTTCTTCAAATGTCGTGGTCATCATTTTATATGGAGAATCGAAGAGATGTCGCTATATAGTAGGGCGATAAGTAAGAATGATCTTACTGGTTCCGTGAAGTAACCAGTTACTTATAATCAGCGATAATAGATAAACAATGGATTAATAACAAAAATAAAAATGATTTTATTTTTTTATAATTTAATAATTTAAAAACCCAAGTAAATACACAAATAGATAGAACAAAGGATATACGGTGCAACGCAGCTTAAGATAAACGATGGAATCAGCAGTGTTGCACAAAAAGTGTGTGAAAGCAAAGAAATAATAGCGATAACAAAATTCAGGACTGAAGAGAAAAATATGGAACACGTCCGTGAGTTGTAGAAATTAATACTAGTGAGATTTCAATGCAACAGATTCAGATTGGGGCAACCAAAGTACGGACAGGAGAGGAAAAATTTTAAAAAAGTGGGTTGAAGAATTAGACCTGTCTAATATACCAACTACCTTTCTTTCTTCCAAACGCTCGGAACGCAACATCGATTTAGTCTTTTCTAATTTTACGGGTCTGAAGGAAGAAACTATCAGACTAGGGTCTAGTGATCACTGGCCGCTTACATTTAGTTCAGATTTGATTAGCTTTAAAGCTGTAACTAAATTTCCACATACTAAATGGAGAATTTATGAAATAATACTAGCCATTCTGCAAGGTTACTGGGAAAAATTATTAAAACTGGTCGCGGCGGATGAATGGTATAGACAGTATAGTAGATTCTTATCAGCTTTAAAGTGTAGATTGACTGTATGGCTCGAAAAAGAAAAGTGGCGTCCCTCACTTCCGCAGGACATCCTTGATAAATTATCAGTTTTGAGGAAAGTAAGGAATAGATATTATCGGTATAGGTGTGAGGAAGATAGGATCAAATTAAGGTATGATTCGAGAAAAATTAAGAGTAAAATTCTTAGCTATAAATCCGTTAGATGGACAGAGTTTCTTACTTCAATTCAGGAATCTCACGGCAAAGCTGACTCATCCTTCTGGACATATCTCTCCCGTATATACAGACCTAAATCGCTCCCACTCTCGAAGTTAGTAACTAATGGGACAGTTATCACGGATCGTAGAGAAGTCATGGACGTACTATTTAAATATTACGCTGAACAATTTTCAGCGCCGACGGAAAATTACAATGATCTTTTCGAGGTAGAATGTCAAGTTGAACATAATGAAATTATGACTAGACTAGCTTTGTGCACTAAGTCTGTGACAGGAACGTCTTCAATCGAAATAAATAAATACGTTAAAAAACTCAAACCAAAAAGAAAAATCGACTGGATTCGACGATATTTCTAATTTTATGATCAAACTACTTCCATACTACCCCAGGCTATATTGATTGTCTAGCGAAGTGTTTTAATGACTGGCTAAAAGATTGTCATTTTCCGGAGGTTTGGCAGTTAGCAAAAATTGTTACGCTTAATAAATTAAAAGCAGGCACGCCTTCTTG